CCTGAGATGAAGGCAGAAATATGAGGCAGATCTTGTAAAAGCAATTTTATCATTTAAAGCTCTTCAACTTTTTTTTTCTGCTTATTTTTTTCCCCTCTTCTTAGGCATTTTCAGGGGTCTCTAAGAGGACAGTGCTGCTCACTGGGCTAGAAAACATTCATGTGAATGAAGACCTTGTGGAGGATTTCATTGGCATTCATTTCCAACGGGAGAAGAATGGAGGTGGCGAAGTAGAGGTGGTCAAATGTGCTTTAAACCAACCTCATACAGTGTATTTTGAAGAATAGACTGATAGAATTATATGAAAATTACAGATTCTAGGCCCAAATTTCTAAATATTTGACAAAGATGAATATGGTATTGCTCAGAAAAGAGAAAAATGTGATTATTTAGTGTTTGTTAATTTTTACAAAGTGTATTTTCATGTGTTTGTATTCTACTTGGGATCTAACTGTGCTGCCTGTTTTCAAACAAATAAGTGCACTTCTTTTCATCTGTTGGGGGCAGAGGGAGGAGAGCTCCAGGCTGCTGAAGTCAACTTTAAGTGATTCCTGGGTCCTCCAATTTGAACTGGCTCTGTCTGCATGGACCTGTGGGCCAACTGGGTTATGACCCCTGCCAAGTATGCGGACTTGATATTTCACATTTAAGAAAAATGCAGTGACATGTAGCAGTTTCTGATTTCTGTGGATTTTATCAAAGATTTAAGTCCTTTCACTCCATAAATCCGAATCTTCCCAGAGCTGAGTGTGGTCTTTTCCCTGAAGTTTGCCAAGTGTCTCCTGATTCCCTTTGAGTCATCCTTGCTTCCAAATACAACTGGTAAAGCCTGGCACTTTTTTTGGTCATCTTTTACACATTAATGGAAAGAATCTGACAATTTTGAAATAAAGGAAGAAATAAATACAAAGTTAGCCATTTGTCCTGATCGCTGTGAGAAGATAACAGGGCTAGACACTCAGTTACTGTCCTCCTGGAGCTGAAAGTTTGGTGGGACAGAGACCCAGTTTGTTAGTATCTACTCTTTTTATCTTGCAGAAACTTCAATGACAAAATGAAAGCTTTCTACTCATACAAAGTGAGATTTTTGTGGGAGTGGAAAAGGTCAGGGACCTTTGGAAGATTTTATCCTAAACTTGTTTGTTTCAGGAAATGCCAGAAGTAGAATTAAACTCATAATGAAATGCCTGCATAAATGAGATGCATTTAGAAAGTATTTTCAACCTAAACCTATCCAATGTGCCTGCCATCTAAAACAGACAAAATAAGGTTTTGTTTCTGACATATTACTTTTAGATTTGAAAGTTATGTTAATATCAGTAGTACTCATTGCTCTCACATTTCTCTTAGGATTGAAAGAAGCTGCCTAAAAAATATGCACTTCGGGGTAATTTCATATTTGTTGCTAAAAAAATACCTTTCATGTCTAATGTTCTCTGGGAATAGTAAAATTTTTTAAACTAAAAAATGTGAAGTCTGTCTTTGTGTTCTGTCCCGTGACAAAGTTCCTGAGGCTGGGGGATCTGTAAAGAACAGAGAATTAATTGTTTATCTCATGGTTCTGCAGACTGGAGAGTCTTCTGAGCCCAGCACAGTCCATCTGCTTCCCTTCTAGTTAGGGGTGTGTGGGTGCTCCTAAGATCATGAAAGGTAGCCCGTGTTGAGACTGGCTTCTTCTCAGGGAGCATTTGCTTTTCTAACAAAGCCAGGCTTGTAACTGCCTCTCATTCCATGAATCTGTGAGTGGATTAACTCATTTTCAAGGGCAGAGCCATTATAACCCAATTACCCACCAAAAGACCTATCTCCAAATACTGTTGACATAAATTTTGGATTACGTGTGCAATACAAGAAGTTGGGGGATGGAGAGAGGAAAAGGGAAGAGGCCACACATAGCATCCCAAATGCCTCTGTACCTTGGGATGGAGGACAGCCACCGAACACCATCCCAGAGTCCTCAACATGGGGCATGCTCCAAAGGTCCTGCTCAAGAGGTTTTGATAGTTCAACAATTCTGAATTACTGCCAATCTCACCACTCCTAGCATGATGAAATCTTTCCAGAATTCCTTGGTTGACATAGCTCACCTTAGAGTGTTCATTTATCCCAGATATTTACTGCCAACATTTGGTTGCTGTAGTTGATGAATTTGTTCTCTCCTCTGTCCTCTGTTATGGTACCAGCTGTCCTCCAAAGATTCCAATGTACTGTCATATCCTCTATGTGCACCTGGATATGCTGTCCACCACTCCATCTAAGCCACTGAAGAGGCCCAGCTCTGACACATGCATCCCATGGTCAGACCATGAAACTTGCAGTTCTCTCCATGGTTGGAGTTCTGAGCCAACGATTAAGTTGGGGGGATTCCCAAAGATATTTCACTGAGGTGATCCCAGACCTGATTCTTGGGTGTGCTTGCCAGTATAGGGTCTGGCAGAGTTGTTGCACAAAGTGGCAGTTGCACTTGTTGGGTCAGTTCTGTCTCCAGCCCTATCCTCTGTATAAACCAATGGGTGTTAGAGCCCTGCCCTATCCTGCCCACCACACACTTGGCCCTCACACAAACCAGTGGGAGCTGCAGCCTAGTCAGAGCAAACTGCAATAAGCTCTACCAGGCCCGCCCCCTGCCCTGGTTCCCATACTTGCCAGTATGTACAGCAGACTGGTCCAGTCTCTCCCCCATTCTGTTCAGCTATCATATATGTCAATGGGCATTGAAGCCTAGTTCAACCCAACCAGCCCCACTATCCACCCCACACACCTGCTGGCAGGTGCCACTTTTTGCCTAGTCATGCCTGTCCCAGTCCTGGTTCTCATGCTCAACAGTCAGAGTGGCAACCCAAGAAGGAGGTGATCACTGTTTCCCTACTGGGCCCACTCCCACTCCCGGATCTTGCCCTCTTCAGCTGGTTCTGCAGTTTAGTGGACAGAATTTGCCCCCCTGTGCCAATATCTGCCAGCTGGCCTGGGTGTGTTTTTTAAAATGTGGATGTGAAAATTCTGTACTTTCTCATTCAGTTTAACTGTGCTGAAAAATAGTTTATTTCAAAAAGGTGGGTTAAATAAGTTTTCTCTTCTGTTGCTTTTATGCACATCAAAAAGATATTTTTTATAATAAGACTTCTTCCTTTTTTTTTGCACTAATATTTTCCATGAAAATATCAATCACTGTAACAAAACTTTCAAAAAGAGGTTTTCTGGTGTATGCATTGTGACAAGTGGGTAAATCCATTCTTTGGAAGGTCTGTATTGCATTGCAGTTCTCTTTTGAGTCTTCTGCCACCATCCCCACCTCTAGTACCCACAGATGAAGATCCAGATGGAGCTGTACAGGTGGGGACCCACCTAGTAGAAAATTCATGCCCAGCTCCCAGGTTGGATGGCCCACTGTGTGGGGTGAAGGTCACCCTGCTTAAGGGTGCAGTGGGAAAACAATATCGTGTCTAAACAAGGGTCAAATCTGACTTCTGTTTCGATTACTCTGGGCTGCTAGCAAAGGTGGATTGAAAGGCAGTGAGAGAATGGGTATGGGCCAGCGTAATCTGGGTATAGTTGAAGAGAATGACTGGTTCTAGCTGCTAGGGTGCACCACTTGATGGGCTGCACAGACAGGGACAAGGAGAGAAAGCCAGGCAGACAGCCGAGTCTCCTGGATGGATGGTGCTGCCATGGACCAAAGGGACGGACACAGAGGAAGGAGAGTTCTGCTTGGCTTTGTTGATTTTCTGATGATCTTCAGACATTCAGGTGGGCACTAATGTGAGTCTGGAAGTTTAAAAATCATGTCTAGAGTTGTGGCTGGCATAGGCATAATCAGCTAAGCCTCCATTTGCAGTGCCACCATTCCATATGGGCACAAGTTTGAATCCTGGCTACTGCACTTCAGATCCAGCTCCCTGTTTATGGTGTGGGGAAGCAGAGGCCTGGAAGAAGTTCCTTGTTCTTGGTTTTGGTTCGGCTCAGCTCCAATTATTGCAGTCATTTGGGGAGTGAATCAGTAGATGGAAGGTCTTTGTCTCCTTCTCTTTGTAAATCTGCCTTTCAAATTGAAAAAATAAATCTTACAAAGAAAGTCACGTATAATCCTACTTCCTCTTGTTTGTCTTAAAAGAATCTAAAACATAAGCATTATAATTTTATTTATTTTCATTTTATTTGAAGGCACACACACACACACACACACACACACACACACAGATATTCCATTCATTGGCTCACTCCCCATAGGCCTGCCACAAGTGGAGCTGGGCCAAGGTGCAACAAAAGGCATGAACTCTATTGTGGGTTCTCACCTAGGTGGCAGCAACTCCAGTTCTTGGGACTGAATGTGATTTCCAGGGTGTACATTATCAGGAAGCTGGAGCTGGGAGTGAGACTCCATCGAGGCACTCTGAAATGAGACACAGTGTCCCTGGAGTGACACAGACCTCTGTGGCGGACACTAGCTCCTCGTTTTTTGAAACCTTTACAGCTTTTTTTGTTGTTGTTGTTTGTGGATGTATCATCAGCCATGTAACAAGCAGCTATATTCATTGATAAATCAAGTTTTTTTTTTAATATTACTACCTGTTACACAGCACCAATTAACATTTCTAAATGGTGTCATCTCTGTACTAGCACTGCACAGATTCCGTATTACAGGTGAAATTGCTGAGCTTGTGGATATGTCTGCGTCTCTGCACTTCACATTTCCAGAGAATTCAGGCGGGAAGGCGCTGCGTTTTCCTCTCCCACTGCAAGGTCACACTCTCCTCTCACAAAAAGGGGCTAACAAGAGAAAAACACAACAAATGCATTTAACGGAAGTTAACAAGGGTTTGTGTCACATGGGAGCCTTCAGAAATGAAGACCCGGAGAACCAGGGAAACTTTTCCTGTGTAGATTCTGGCGAGGGTGACAGCCCTGCAGAAACGTTTTTGAAGCAGGGTGTGATCCAACGGTCACAGACTGAAGGGACATTGCTAGCAAGGTCTGTATGTTTAGGTTGTTGGCCCCGCGAGATGGGAGCTCCCACTTGGAGGACACGAGGTTACAGGGTGGGTGGAAGTACCACCCTTTTGTCTCCAAGGGAGCGGGCATTGGAAAACCGAAACCAAAAGTTAGTTGCTAGCTCAACTCCTGTCCCGCCGCCCGCGCTGCCGCCACGTTTGGGCTTTCCGCCGGCCGCCGATCGCGCGTCGCTGCTCCACCATGGCGAGTCGTCTTTGCTTTGGGCTTTGAGGAGCAGGATACCTGGGTACCATCGGCCCGGCCCTCTGGCAGGGAGGGCATCTGCTGCGGGGCAGGCCCGGGTGCGGGGCAGGGCGGGGTGGCCGGAGGAGGCAAGCGATTGAACAGGCCGCCCTCTTTCAAAGAGGGAGTGTGAGTCAGCCCAGAGTCGCCTCCCCGCAATTGCCGGGCGGCGCGGGCGAGGGGCACAGCTCTCAGGGACCGGACCGGGCAGCCACTGCCCAAAGTGGACAGATGCTCTAAGCATGGAGGCGAGGACAGAAGTTAGGAGGGCGTTCGGTCGTCTGTACGTCTTGCTGCGAATTCCGATCTTTTGTGGTGTTGATGGGTTGTCTTCAGGCACAAAGGGCCCTGAGTTTGCCCATCTGTGCTGACTAGAAAGGGCAGTGGCCTATTCCAATAGCATTGAGCCTTCTGCTGCGGTGCAGCCCCCACCCGGCAGGCTGTCTCAAGGCAAGGCAGAACTTCCAGTTCCTGGTCAGAAATGCTGAAGTTAACAGATGCCAAGTGCGCTTTTGTTGACTTAGTAGCAATAAAGGCAGGGTCCATGAAAAGAGACAACTGGTTTTGAGAAAAAAAAATGAGAGCAAAGGTAATATAACCCTTCTGATTACTTCTGGCTGGAGTCAACACTTCCCTGCTTTCTGATGCCACGGCCCAAAAGGCGCTGCGGGCCCCACACTGATATTGAGGAAAGTGCCACTGTCTTGCTATTCCTTGTTTCAGAATTTTTGGCAGGGTTGTCTTTCTCCAGGACACACCTTTTTCTTATTAATTGTACGCAGACAAGATTAATAACTCCTTGTTCATATTTGACCTTGGTAAAATGACAATGAGAGAAGGGTAAAGAAGTTTAGCAGGTCGTTGGAATACTTGATTAGATACTTCATAAATATAACCGAGGTTTTAGAAAACAAGGCCATCCTTTTCTGCTCTCCCTTCTGGAGATACTGGCTCAGGGGACGCCCCTTTGGTGATTAAAGGTGATTTGCATTTAGACTTGTGAGTAGAGAAATATGCTGTTAGCATTGATGAGGACTGGAGGTAGAATTTGGTTTTCAGAATTTAAATTGGTTGGGAATGTTTCTTTCTTTTTTTGTTTTGAAAGATTTATTTATTTTTATTACAAAGTCAGATATACAGAGAGGAGGAGAGACAGAGAGGAAGATCTTCCATCTGATGATTCACTCCCCAAGTGACTGCAACAGATGCTTGTGTGCCCATCCGAAGCCAGGACCAAGGAACTTCCTCCAGGTCTCCCACACGGGTGCAGGGTCCCAAGGCTTTGGGCCATCCTCGATTGCTTTCCCAGGCCACAAGCAGAGAGCTGGATGGGAAGTGGAGCTGCCGGGATTAGAACCGGCACCCATATGGGATCCTGGCACATTCAAGGCGAGGACTTTAGCCACTAGGCCATGCCGCCAGGCCCGGGAATGTTTCTTTGACATTGAAGATCAAGAAGCAAGTGACTTCGTCAGGCTTGGGGGTACCAGTGCAGCATGTCATGGCCAGACAAGGCTCATCAAGGAAGGTCCTTGGAGAACCTCAGACAGCTCTTTACTCATTTCTTCCTTTCTCAAGGGAGAATGATTTGGGGAAAATACATTTAGCCCCTTCAATCTGTGTTGTTGTTACTGTTTCACTCTTGCAATCTAGTGCATAAGTAGTTTTAACAAGCTCTGTTTTCTTCTACTGAAAGTCTCCCGTAGCAAGTGGCTATGGGATGTATGTGGCCATGGGATGTATGTGATGGGTTTTCCTTTTGGGAAACACCCATTGGTTTGTATTTATCTCTTCATGAACCATTTTTTACACTATCTCTGCTCCTCCTCCCTGCCTTAACACTTTGGAAACATTTTTTCTTCATATTTTGGCCTCATTGATTTAATTTCTGATCTGGAGTCAGACGTGCTACCGTTGTGCCACGAGGTCCCCCACTTATTGATTTAATTTCTATCTCAGCCTTCAGGGCTTCTTTTCTACAAAGCCTTTATTTAGATTGCTTGAGGCCAAGATCAATTGTGTTTCCTGATCCTGGGTGACATTTATTGTATATCTTGGAATTTTGTTGTGGATAATCTTGTGTGATTTTCAGATGGTTGGGTGCTGGCTCATTTCCTCCTGCAGAGAAATTGATCTCCCTCTTTTGTGGCTTCTAAACCCTTTTGAAATGATTTATTTCAGTGTTTGCCTCCTTTTCTTTAAGATACAGGCCCTTTGAAAAGTGTTGTTTGTTCTAAAGTCTGCCCACACCTCTATACACAACGCAGGGGTACTCAGTATGCTTTTGTGGAAGAACTGTTTTTCAGGGATCATGGCATGCTTGTTTTCTTTTCTGTGTCATTTGCCGGGCCTGGCATGTTGTCAAGAATAGAAGGCATTCAAGGAGACCATTGGGGAACGGACTGTCCTTGTAGGCCAAGAACTCTGAGGTCATCCACTCCCTTTCGGATCTCCCACTTGGGATGGAAGATGCCCAGATCCTTCCTCACAGGATCCAATGTCATTGGAACAATAGCCAGGAGCCCTGAGTGGTCTTTAGAAACAGAATAACAGTCAACTTCCTTTGGGACTTGGGAGGGGAGCTTTCTCTGGTCCTTACTTTGTTCCAACTTTGGATCCCCACCCTCTCTTACAATGACCATCAGGGTTGTTCTGGAGCCCCCAACCCCCACAAAAAAATTAATTAGACAGACAGAGACCAATAAGGAAAGCTTAGAACGAAACAGGAAACGGTCAGCCTGGACTCACATATACCTTACTAGGTAGGACACAAAGGTTAGGTACTCCTCACTAAGGTATTGAAGGTTTCTCTGCACACCCCTCCTGAAAGTGTTCTGAGCCTCAATTGTTAACATATGCTTTGTTAAAGTTATAAGCCAGTTTGGACTATCCTAAAATTCTCCAAGTTCAATAAAATTATGTTTCAATACTATAAACTGCTAAATATAAAAATGAAAACAGACATGAGACAGCTGAATAGTACCCTATAACCATTCTAAGGTGTATAGCAACCAGTTGTGTATAAACCAAAATTGAAAAGGCAATGAAGTAGTCTCAGGATGTGGTTAAGAGCTTGCATTTTCTAACATATTCATCACTCAATACCATTTCAATTAACTCTATAATGTTGTAAATTGTTATTGATGTTGTGTTGTGTCTTTTCATTGGAGGGGATGATATTCTGCCAGCTCTACTCTCAGACCAGGGATGGTCTCCCCAAGAAACTGTTGAATTTATCTTCACAATTAGATGCTGGACTCTATGCTTGGTGAATGCTTGCAATGAAGGAATCATGACTGGATATGAACTGTACTACTGCAGTAATGTGGAGGAATCCAACATGGGGGGAGGGCACTGGGGAATCCGAGAGCCTATGAAACTGTGTCATAAAACAAAATTAAATAAAAGAAAAGGATAGAAGGTACGTCTTAATAATACAGTGTTTGTTAGCTGATTAATTAACCGACAAGATAACACACGAAGACACTTTGAATTTTGTGGAGAGGGAGAATAAAATAAGAATTTATTTTGGTACAAAACAATTGAAATCCATGCATATTTCATTCATAGTACACCTTTTGTATGATGTTTTTGAAGATTCCTTGTACAAGGGGTTCAAAGGCCTGAGGCAAGGGAAAGCTTTTGCAGTTGGTACTCTGTGCCCAGTAGGGTGGCAGCGTGTGCAAAGGTGTGTCCTCTCTGGTCACATTTCTCACCATAGTGGTTGAAGGCAGGATTCACTCCACTGGAACCCCTGCTACTGTCTGGTCTTTTAGAAGAGTGATTTTTCTTTGATTCAATCAGACATTTTAAGTTGGGGATGCTTATCCATCAATATACTTGGAGTTCTACAATGAAGAATGCATCCACTTCCAAACAACCATGTTTTGTGTTTGACTTGCTTTTATGATTTCATTTTTGGATTTTGTCTTCTAATCTTTTTCTTGGAGAGTTCCTCTATTATTTTGTAAGCCTTCTTTAAAAAATTTAGGCAAGTATTAACCAATCCTTTCTGCCAATAAAAAACTAAAGGGTTAATATTTTTCATTTAATTCAAATTCTTATAGTATTTGTGAAGCAACAGTCTGATTTTTCCTCCTTTTAAAGTATCCAACCAGCTGCTTTAGTACTTTTATTGAAGAAGTCCCCTCAGAGTGGGATGTTGGCATTTTTATTAAATAGAGTCTTATATTTTAAGAGAGTACCCTACTGTTTCTTTACAGGCATCATTTTCAAATGTCAAGGCATCTAAAACTTCAAAAAGAGCAGTAGTAGTTGCTGGGCTTCCAACTGATCTGTGCAGTGATCAACTATTGGCCACATTAGTTAAGAGTCACTATCAGGATGATGATGGAGCTGTTGAAGATGTGCTATATCCAACAAGAGCTAAGGGAGTTGCATATCGAATAGTCAAAGAAAAAAGAGGTATTCCTATATCAAATATTTATGTTCTTAGAAATACTTCATCAATGAAATCTAAAATTATATTATGTTAAAATGATTCATGGAATTGGTGAAATGGGAAGCACTTTTAAAAGCATTTGTTTAGTTTTGAGTATAGAAGTGGCAAAACATTGTATTAGCAAGAATATACAGTAGGCTGTCTATATTCAGGGATTCTTATCTGTGATTCAACCAACTGCAGAAAGGAAATATTTGAAAAAATAATTGTAACTACACCAAATATGCACATATTTTTCTTGTTATTATTTCCTAAATAATGTATACGACCATGATTTTCATAACATTTATATTGCATTAGATATTATAAAGATCATGAAGGTGATTTAAAGAGTATGAGAGAATGTGTACATGTTTTATGTAATTAGATAATTTTATATTAGCAACTTGAGTATTTGTGGATGTTGGTATCCATGGGTGGTATCATGGAAAAAAATCTCCCAGAGATACTGAGAGATGAGTGTATATGAAAACAGCTCATGTTAAAGTTACCCATGACTGGCAAGTTCACGAAGATTATTTTTTCCTCTATTTGAGTCATGGGACAGATCATGTCTAGATCATGATGCATTTTATTGCAGATAAGTTGCAAAATACATGGAAAATGGAGAAAAGCTTCAGCTCAAGTATATGTCATCTTATAAATAAGATAATTACTTTGGGAATTTTAGTCTGGCTTTAACAATATATTTAACACCCTCTACTTCTCTATTTAACCCAACAAATGGATAGTCTAGTATAGCTTCTGCTTTTTTACTGGTACACTTGAAAAATAAGATTTGCTCCTGAGATCCTATATTGAGCTGTTTTGGTCTCCACTTCCATGCAAAGAGAAAGTTGGGCTCGTGGAGTGAACCCTATATTCCATTTTCATGGCAGAGGGTAGAGGATGTGGGGTGACCTTGTGGACAGCTTAGTGGCTGGCAGAATAAATTGCCTGAGAGAAATGCATTTCTGGTCAGCCTCTTGGAACTGGATCTGCCACAAGGCAGATTGATTTGAGGAAGAGACTCTGCTCTACTTAATAGAAGCCTGGGTCCACACAGCCAGTTGACTGTGGATGACCAGTTCCAACAGTTAAGTCCTTGCTTATCAATGGGGATCTCAGTAAAGAGATGATAGGAATAGATTCATTTCTTATTATTTTATTTCATTGATAGACAGAGATATCTTCCATCTGCTGATTCAGTTCCCAAACCGAATGCCTGCAATGCCATATCTAAGCAAGGCTGAGAACTCAATTTAGGTCTCCTGTGTGAGAGATAGGGGTTCAACTACATGGGTCATCATCTACTGCCTCCAGGGTGTGTATTAATAGAAAACTGGAGCCATGAGCTGGGCCAGGACTCAAACATAGGTATATCTGTGGGATATTGATGCTCCAAGTGGCCTTTTAACCATGGTTCCAAAAGTTGACCCAAGAAAGGTTTCTTATTTATTTATGTGAGTGGTAGTGGTTTGGGAAGTTAGCATATTTTAGAAAAATTTATTTATTTGAAAGAGAGTTAAAGAGAGGGATGGGAGAGAGAAAGAGAGATGTTTAGTTCACTGGCTCACTCCCCAAATGGCAACAACAGGCCAAATCCAGAAGCCTGAAACTCTATATGGGTCTCCCACATGGATATCAGGGACCCAAGCAATTGGACCATCATCCACTATGTTTCCAGGTATATTAGTAGCAAGTTGTATTGTAAGTGGAGCAACCAGGATTCAAATTGTGCTCATATGGGCAGCCTAACATGCTGCAACACATCAGCCCCAAGAAGTTAATATTTTATATATTGAATTGGTAACTCAGAGAAAGAATAGAATCCATCTCCATCTCCTATATCCTTCTTCCTCTCTCCCTCCCTATCAAAAAATTTAATAATGTATCATGCCACAAACCCTTCTGATGTCACTGTTTTCACTTAGATGCAGAGAAAGACATCAGACAAAAGAAACACTGTCTGGACATGATTGGAGGTGCTCAACTCACAGTTTCTCACTTTAGTGATATGGTAAGGTGTGATGCTGAAGGAGCTAGGTCATCTATCTTTGGAGAAGGTGGTCCTGTGTAGGGAGACACAAACTGCCCTTGCCCTGTGACTTCTGGGAAAAAAATCCAAATTTCCTACTTAGAGTCAGTTTTCAAGGCCAAACCTGTCCCCTGAAGTTATGATTTTAGATGTTGTCTGTGTCCCATGTGATACATTTAAAGTAAGAGTGAACTTTTGGGGGGAAAATTATGATGAACATTAAAGAGACAGAAAAGAAATGAAAAAGAAGAAAAGTTTCAATTCAAAGCATTTATTCACAGACTTCGCTCTGTAAAAGTCAGGGTGCTGAGTATCTCAAACTATAGGTATGGAGTGGGTGAGGATGGCTCTGGGGAACTCTGTCCAAAGAGCAGAATAGCTCACATCTCTGTGTTCTGCAGATGACCTTGTGTCCAAAAAACATTGGACCACCTTTCTTCTGGGTTATGTAGTGAGTGACTGGGAACTGTGGCTTGAACATGTTGGGGTCCCTTGTTGGGCAGCTCTGAAGCAGGGCCTTTGGGGTGGGCAGTGGGAGCTTGGTTTGGGCAGACTGCTGTAGAACAAAGAAAGTGGTACAAAAGAAGCATGAATGTGTGTTTGTGTTTACACGTGTGTGTGTGTGTGTGTATTCTGTTTCACTGGGCAGTGCTGATTTAATTTCTCTCTTTTTAATTTTAGGTCTTCAACTCTGTAACTGCTCTCTTGGATCTTTCTGTTTTTGGGAGTAATGTTGTTCTAGAAAATCTGATAGGGAGCTTGCAAGAGAAGATCCCGGCTTTAAGCTTCAGCAGCCTGGATTCCAATGGAAGAGTATTTGTGGCAGGTTCCTTTTCAGCTCTCAAGAGGCTCAGAGAATCTTTACTGTTGAAAGCAAATTCTCTTTTAGGAAACACCAGGGATTTTGTCAGTGAGAGGAAAAAGGGGACTAGACAAAGCTTCCCAAAGGGACTGCCAAGAAGTGGTGACTCTATAGGATTGCCTGGGACGCTAGGATCTAATGTTACTGGACACGAAGAAACAGTTGTGCTTGATACAGATGTTTTCCTTTATCTGAAAAAGAAGTGCAGAGTGTATGAAGAATCATTGGATACATTCCATGTTCTGAGTCAGGAGAGAGTGGATGGGGACATTACCACCATCAGTTTAAAGCATGCTCAAGTTGATTCTCATCGAGACAGTGTAAGACATGTAAAACAGATTGTTGAGGAGCTGTCTCAATCCCTGCAGTGTCAGCTTAGAAAAGAGACACTTCTTTTGGAAGGAAAGAACAAGACAGAGAAGGCAAACATTATAAGGGTGTGTAAACAGCTACAGCCCAGATACCAGGAGATCCTGATAAATTCTTTTAAGACACACATTGATATTATAGGATCTTCTACTGACATCTACCTATTTACAAAGGAAGTGATGGAATTAATACAGCAAAAAATTCCTTAAATCTTCAGCAACAGAAGGGGTAACTGTGGCTTTCGCCTTCTGAATGTTGACTCTGCCATATTCGAGCAAGCTCGACATGCCTGATCTTGTGCTATTATATAAGCATGCCTCACCATGAGCATTGCCATCTCCATAGTATAGGGAAGAAGGTAGGATTTGGAGAAATTAAAACTCTTCATTTGCCTAGTTATTCATTGCCAACACTCACTGGGGTAGTTGATTGATTTATTCTGTCCTCTGTCCTCTGTTGTGAACCAGGTGTCCTCCACAGATTCCAATGTACTGTCATATCCTCCATGTGCACCTGGATATGCTGTCCACCACTCCATCTAAGCCACTGAAGAGGCCCAGCTCTGACACATGCATCCCATGGTCAGACCATGGAACCTGCAATTCTCTTCATAGTTGGGGTTCTAAGTTCAGTGATTCAGTTGGGGGGATTCCATTGAAACTTCGTCTGAGGTGATCCCAGACTTGATTCTTGTGTGTGCTTGTCAATACAGGGTTGGGCATAGTCCATCGTCCCAATCAGCTTATGCACATGCTGGTGGTTGCAATTACTGGGCAGTTCTGTCTCCAGCCCTGTCCTCTATGTAAACCAATGGATGTTAGAGTCCTGCCCTATCCTGCCCACCACACACTTGGCCCTCACACAAACCAGTGGGAGCTGCAGCCTAGTCAGAGCAAACTGCAATAAGCTCTACCAGGCCCGCCCCCTGCCCTGGTTCCCATACTTGCCAGTATGTACAGCAGACTGGTCCAGTCCCTCCCCCATTCTGTTCAGCTATCATATATGTCAATGGGCATTGAAGCCTAGTTCAACCCAACCAGCCCCACTATCCACTCCACACACCTGCCGGCAGGTGCCACTCTCTGTCTAGTCATGCCTGCCCCAGTCCTGGTTGTCAGAGTGACAACCCAAGAAGGAGGTGATCACTGTTTCCCTACTGGGCCCACTCCCACTCCCGCATCCTGCCCTCTCCAGGTGGTTCTGCAGTTTAGTTGATAGAATTTGCCCCCCTGTGCCAGTATCTGCCAGCTGATGGTGCGCAAAGCCTAAACAACCCACACTCACTTTGATTTATGCATGTACCGATGGGAATAATCAACCCAACTTGGCTTTCCTGGATCCAGCCCACATGAGTCCAGCAGGTGTTGTAGCCTTGCCCAGCCTGGTCTGCTGCCATTCCAGCTCTCAGTATCTCTAGTGGTAGTGGTGGTCCAGCAGGGAAGCCCCAAACAGCCCTCTACCGGCTTCACCCCATTCACCCCTGAGTCTCACGGTTGGGTTTAAGGCCCAATCTGGCATGGCCCGACTCCCCATGGTATTTGCCACTGGAGGCTGTAGTATGGCTGGGCCCAGACCACCACCAATTTTAGTGCATGCTGGTGCGGACTACAGCCCAGCCCAGCCGAGTCAGTCCGCAGTCCTGGCCCTCACATGAACTGGCTTGTGCTGTGACCCAACCCAGCACAACCCATACTCTGTTCTGGGTCTTGGATTCGCCGGTGGGTGATGATAACTAGCCCAGCCTGATTCACCCCCAACCTGCACCAAATGAATGCTGGTGGGTACCATAACTGAGCCTAATCTGGACTGCTCCTTATTGTGGTTCTTTCATTTACCTGCAGGGACTATGTCCTGACAGATCTTGCACACATTGGTGGGTCCACGGGCCAATTTATTTAGTCTCCCTCCTGTCCTAGCAGGAATAATGGCCTTTCCTGACTGGTATTCACTCATTCTAATTTTTATTGTTGGGTGTTGCAACCCAGCCAAGCCTGATCCACACCAAGATATAGGCCACACCCAGCTCTGCAGGGGCAGAGAACTAACCTAGCCCGTCTTATACCTACCTGGTTCTTACGAGCACCAGTGGGTCCCGGAGTCTAACCCAGTATGGCACACCACAGATCCAGTCCATACTTGTGTTGAAGGACACTGCAGCCATGCCCAGACTAGACAGCAGCCTCCATTGTGAGCTTCACACTCACTGGTAGGAACCACAACCCAACTGGTGTATCCCTTTAGCACCACAACCAGGTCTGTTGCCCGCCACAGATCTTGCATGTGATAGTGCTTGTTCTGACCCAGCTTGACATAGTGCCTAACCTGTCTTGGCCTTTGCCTTTGAATGCTGTACCCTGGCCTGACCCAGCCTGCCCCTAGTCCCAACCTGTGTTGGTGGGTGCTGCAACCTGGCTCTGTTCAGTCTGCTTTCTTCCTTATCTCACGCAAACCAGTAGGTGTGGCAGTAGTCTAGCATGGCATGACCTACATACCAGCTTGGTTTCTGCATTTGCTCATGAGCTAAAGTTTGCTCAGTCCTGCCCGATCCACCCCCTTCCAAAACCAGCCCACACATTAGCCAACAGTTGGAGCTACCTTGCCCAGCCTGCCTGACTCCCAGGCTTGGACAATGTGATAGCCAGTGGGAACTATGACCCACTAGGGGAGTTTCCTAGACCCAGATCTCATGCATGCCAGCATAGCCTGCTCTTCCATCTTGGCCCTTGTATGAGCTTGTGAATTTTGCGACCAGCTTACCCCACATCCTGTTTTAGGATGCACATGCAGGTACTGCAGCCTGGATTTGCCTAGTCTATTCTTGTTCCCTGTACCTGTGTTAGCAGGTTCCATAGTACACCTTGCTCAGCTCACCACCATCCCAACTCCTGAGCTAACCAGAGGGACTTGTATTTCCACAGGCTTTAGCCCACAAATCCACCACAGAATTTACCACCCTGGTTCTCATGCTGGTTAGTGTCATGGCCCTGTCTAATGTGACCTGTACCCTGTTCCAACATTCAGTCAGGTACTGAGATCTGGCTCTACTAGACAGGTCCCCAACCCTAGTTTTTGTGTAGACTGGTGTGTAGTGGTCAGTGATGTTCTATGGTAACAAGCCCTACTCTGGATTTCCATGTGGGCTGGTGCATGAGTCTGACCCATTCAGATCTTCCGGTTTCTCCCCTGCAAACCACCAGGTCTCAGATCCCTCACTTACTTGCAAGTACAGTGGATCTGTTGTTGGGGGTCCTTACCCATGGATGTCCCTAGGTAGTAATTACAGACCCTCAGGATCCCAGAGCAGGCCGCTGCCTGCAAGGCCATGATTCAACCACTGCTTGGCAATGGTGGATATGGAGCTAGGATCCCAGCAGGAAGCCTGGGTAAATGGAGACTATGAACTATGTCAGCCAGTGAATTCTGGAGAGATTTCATCGTGCTAGGAATGGTGAGATCGGCAGCAATTCAGAACTGTTGAACTATCAAAAGCACTTGAGCAGGACCCTTGGAACATGCCCCACATCAGGGACTTGGGATGGGTGGGAGGCTGTGTGGGGCTTCTCACTTTATTTCTCTGTTAGCCCCAGATACAGAAAAAAATAATAATAATGTGGCAACAATGGTCTTACCCACTTTCTTGTAACCCTTGATCTTTGTGCCTTAATTAACTATGTAACGATTATCAAAATAAAATAATTACAAAAAATAAAAAGAAAGTTCTGTCTGCTGGTTCATTCCCCCAGGTGACTGCAATGGCCAGAGCTGTGCTGACCTGAAGCCAGGAGTCAGGAGCTTCCTCTTTGTCTCCCACGCAGGTGCAGGATCCCAAGGCTTTGGGCTGTCCTCTACTGCTTTCTGAGGCACAACAGGGAACTGGATGAGAAGTGGAGCAGTGGCTGGGACACGAACAGGTGCCTGTATGAGACTGCAATGCATGCAAGGTGAAGATTTAGCCTCTGAGCCATTGTGCTGGGCCCAAAGGTTTATTTTTTGTTGTTGTTGTTTAAATATTAATTTATTATTTTTTTATTATTTTTAAAATAATGGTTACATGGTTGATCAGGTTGGGAAGGATCAAGGTTTAGGGAAAATTGGCTGAATTCATTGAAGATTTGCTTTTTCAAAAGCAACAGACTCTCTCTCTCTCTCTCTCTCTCTCTCTCTCTCTCTCTCAATCTTGTAGCCATTGTTTCACTCCTTAAATGCCTACCACAAGCGGGGATGGGCCAGGCAAAAGCCGAGAGCCAGAATTCCAGCCAGGTCTCACATGTGCGTATCAGGGACTACAGCCCTTGAGCTTTCCCAAGTGCATTAGCAGGTACCTGGATCCAAGAGAAGTGTCTAAAACTCCAATCAGCACATGATATGAAACGTAAGTGTGCCTAGCTGTGCTTCAATCCGCTGCCTCACAGTATCGGCTTCTGGGTTCTTCTCCACTAACACAGTGTAGTTTCTGAAAGATCCAGTTCGTGAATGTACACATAAGATTTCAGTACTTTATCATAAACTAACTAGTATCTTCTGTCCGTTTTTTAATTTTTCAGATGTAAGTTGTCCCCTCTCCACCCTCCCAAGCTACTATCAGCTCCTTACAGGCAGTCTTATATATCAAGACAGAGGTTTTGTGGCTTGGTAGATCTGAAATTGAGTTTTAGCAATGGCACTTACTGTCATGTGACTTTGGGCCTGCCTTTTCCATATTAAGTGGAGGAGAGTAGCTGTGACTTCATAAGACTGTGTGTGATAATATGATAATGCCCTCCGTGGATGCCTTGGCTCTTTGTAGCCAATGTGTAATGCAGTAAGATGGTGTAAAAAGTCTTCCAAACATTTGCTGTTGTGGGAGGCCTTTTTCTGTGAAAGGAAGAACACTGTAGGGAAGTTGAATTTTGTGACACACCTGCTACAAAAAAGTGCCCTCCGTAGTGGTATCTTCAGAGGTACAGAGGTGTTGCCAAAGCAGACATTCCACAAGATGAGTGTTTGTGAGAGATTATCAAAATTCTGTTCCGGGGTTTTCATGGAGGGGAGAGAGTAGTTTCTGTGCAGCTTGAACACTGCAGGTGGCTTCAGCTCTGACTGCTGGAGAAAGCCAGAGCTCCAGCTGTTGTCAGGAAGCACCTGCCTCTTAGTCTGGTGACTGAAGCACCCACAGTCACAGCTCTATGCACCTTTGCCTCCAGGACATATTGGACCAGCTCAGAATAGATTATTTTAGCTATAAAAATTTTTCCCTGTGAGTTTTTTGTTTGTTTGTTTGTGCTGGTGATGGTGGGGTGGGTAGGGAGAGGAACAGAGGTTGGGGTGGAGTGTGTTCTGTGGTTAGCTATCTTTTGTAAGCCACGTCAAGCAGTCAGAAAACAGCATTGCACCCTCTTCACCCATCCCTATTTCTGCTTCACGTTGGGACACACAAAAAAGGTGACCTTGTTTTCTAACGTTTAAACAAATGACTACAATCTTCTATTTTTCTTT